CCACCCACGACATGAACCAGGGGTAAGGGAGCACTTGCATCCTAAGTACCATAGTATCCCAGTTGTAAATGTCAAACCAATTATGTCTGTCCAGTGATGACCACGGCTTTAGTCCTCTGCATTGGTCGGCGTTCGCGGGCCGGGGAGGTCTGGTGGATATGTTGATCGCAAAGGGCGCCCGTATTAACGCCACAAACATGGGGGACGACACCTGCCTCCACTTGGCCTCAGCGCAGGGACACAAGGATGTGGTCCACCAACTGCTCAGACATAAGGCTGACATAAACGCGGTGAACGAACATGGAAACACTGCCCTCCACTACGCCTGCTTCTGGGGCTACCAAAGCATTGCTGAAGAACTCATCACTTCCGGTGCTTTGGTTAATATAAGCAATAAATACGGCGAAACCCCGTTAGACAAGTGCAGGGGTCAGATGCAACAGCGCCTCCACGAGTTGGCCGCCGAGTTGGGTCAAGACGTGACCAAAAAGATCCCCTATAAGGACCAGTCCTGGTTGGGCACAAAGTCCCGTTCCCGTGACGCCACGCTATCCCGGTATTCAGGGCTCACTCTCCAAGAGCTTCATCTCCAGCACAAGATATNTAAAAACTTTTTGATTATATATTAAATGCATAGAGAGTTGAACACAAAATGTTGAACACTTGTATCGGGTTGAGATCCCGGTGCCCACCGTTACGACTGTTTCATTTTGTCGAGGATAGGGATCACCTGATCAAAGGACGGTCTCTTTCCCGGCTCCTCATTCATGCAGATGCGGATCAGTCGGGCCATGTGTGGCGACACACCGGGAGGAATGGTGACCCTTAAGGCCTCGAGCGCTACCTTCATGCCGATCTCCATGGGCGAGAGGTCAGCGAAGGGCACCTGACGGGTGGCCAACTCCCACAAGAGTACGGCGAACGACCACATGTCCGCAGCCTTCACGTTGATGTCGGTGTGCTTTTTCTGGAGGGCTTCCGGTGCCATCCACGCCGGGTTATACACCTTATTGCGCTCCTGGAACGAGAACTTGGCGTCCGCCATATTGATCCGGGCAGTCAGGTCCTCGTCGATCTAGTGGACAGGTATGTCTGTTAATAAGGGCTTCAGTGGACAGGTATGTCTGTTAATAAGGGCTTCAGTGGACAGGTATTCAGGGAGTTGGCCCACATGTCATACCATAACGTGTTTCGATGATAAGTAGAGACGAGGTATGAGTGGATTCAGTGTATGCAAGAACGCCATTCCCCGGGCGATATCAATGGCAAACTTGAGCGCCTTATGCGTGTCGACCACAATACCGGTGCCCTCGTGGAGGACTTGATATAGGCTTCCGTATTGCATGTGTTGGTTGACGACAACCAGATTTGGCGGCGAATTCACGCAACCAATGACTGGCAGTACATTCGGGTGCGAAAAGATGCGAAGTCTTGGGAACTCCTCGGAGAAGTCGCGCGGAATTCTGGGCGCCATTTCCCCGACGACAGCCACAAATTTGGCACAAATCTCGCTATTATTTCGCTGCCAAACACCTCTCCAGGTCTCGCCGGACGGCGTCGACGATATCTTGTGCTGGAGATGAAGCTCTTGGAGAGTGAGCCCTGAATACCGGGATAGCGTGGCGTCACGGGAACGGGACTTTGTGCCCAACCAGGACTGGTCCTTATAGGGGATCTTTTTGGTCACGTCTTGACCCAACTCGGCGGCCAACTCGTGGAGGCGCTGTTGCATCTGACCCCTGCACTTGTCTAACGGGGTTTCGCCGTATTTATTGCTTATATTAACCAAAGCACCGGAAGTGATGAGTTCTTCAGCAATGCTTTGGTAGCCCCAGAAGCAGGCGTAGTGGAGGGCAGTGTTTCCATGTTCGTTCACCGCGTTTATGTCAGCCTTATGTCTGAGCAGTTGGTGGACCACATCCTTGTGTCCCTGCGCTGAGGCCAAGTGGAGGCAGGTGTCGTCCCCCATGTTTGTGGCGTTAATACGGGCGCCCTTTGCGATCAACATATCCACCAGACCTCCCCGGCCCGCGAACGCCGACCAATGCAGAGGACTAAAGCCGTGGTCATCACTGGACAGACATAATTGGTTTGACATTTACAACTGGGATACTATGGTACTTAGGATGCAAGTGCTCCCTTACCCCTGGTTCATGTCGTGGGTGGTGTCGTCCAGCCATACCCTCACTTGGAAAGCGTTACCATCTCTACACCAATTGAATATATCATCCATTGTTTGGCAGTAATTGTGTTTAACTTAAATGTTTTGATGAATGAAAAGTTGTTTTAATGTCAATGGAAATGCTATCACTATTTATGGCACTCCAGGAAAGGCATATAAGGCTATCCCTACTCTACAAGTTTGGCATACATTGCGTTGAATGGAGTCTCACTCTCCCACTCCATCTAACTGTGCATCCAATCACATCCCATCCCATTCACAGCATACATGGCATACATTGGCCTCACTTTATGGTCATTTGGTAGATGTCTTAATCGAAAACCTCAACGTTTATTGGATTAACACCAGTGATCGCAACGATAGGCAAAACATAATCAACTCAATACACAATCAAAATAGAGAGACAACTCTTCCAACGATATATACATCAGAAAAAACAAATCAAAATACAGTTTCATATTAACAGCACTTGTATTGACTATAAAAAAATAAAAACGCATATATTGTACGATCGGATCAATTAATCTGCAGACTCTTGCGGACCAGTTTGTCGGCAATGGTGTAGAACTGTTGCCTGTCTTCCCTCCACATCTTGGCCGCGTCCACATTGGCTCCGGACTCGTCGTTAGGCTCAGCCAACATCGACACCACTGACAGCAACACCTTCTCGACGGACTGCACGGGTGACCACCGCTCGGCACTCGACTCGTAGCCCATGGGGTCGTCTCCGGGGGCGTGTAGTATCGATATGCAGACCCTGCCATCCGGGTATATATTCGGGTGAAACATATCGGATATGAACTGCATTTTAGGCGGCGATAGGGGGTAGTCGTTGGGAAAGGTGAGCCTCGCGGTGAACACTCCGCCGTCAAAGCACGTGCCCTCCGGTCCGGTGATCAGCGCTTCCCACTCGAAGAAGTTCTCCTCATCGATAGGGCCGGCGATGATCCCTTCCGGTGGGTTCAGTGTCAGCTGCTTGTACTCAGCCATCAGCCGCCGCAGAGCTGATCCCGCCATCGATACGATCAGTCACTGCAATGGGTTATCATATGTCGTGAATGACAGACAATTTGTGTGATACTGACAGCGAGTTAACGTTAACTGTAAGCTTACGTTACGTTTAGGCTTACCGTAAGTATCTATAGGATTACAGTGCAGTCTATGTGTGAGTGACTGTATGGCACACTGTATGTGAAGGTCAGTCGCCAGCAAAACAATGCAGTGTTTGAGTGAATGTCAAACAACTATAATATAGTGTTTGATATAAACGCCAATTTGATTGACAGTAGTTTCAGATTAATTTGATTTCTTGATATGAAAATTGTGTTTAACTTTTATGCCAAATATTTCTGATATCAACACTTTGGCTGTCGTTTCAAACATACAATTATCGCTGGCTATGCAGTAAGCGATCGCTACGTTGCCATACGATTAGCATAGGGTTGGGCGTGAAGGGGACCATTGGGGGGCACTATTAGCGTACAATAGCGTGATAGCATATGCGGTGAGACTAGAGTAACCATTACGATAATCGGTGCAGAAATACAGTGGCGAAGGGCTCAGTGTTTTCACTGTAAGCGTAAAAATAGTGTAGTTTTCATACAAATTGTTGTGAATGTTGTAAACGGATGTCATTTATTTGTGGCCCAATTGGCCATCACTTGTGTCCACCGATTCACTCGACAATCAGTTCACCACTACTTCACCACTACTTCACCACTACTTCACCACTACTTCACCACTAATTCACTATTAGTTAGTGTTTTGCCATTTGTTGAGAAGTTATTTCAAGTCTTCATGTGAACCACAAATCGCTGCAAATGAGTGACAATCACAACACTAAGTCCAAAGACGGCAAGAAGAACAAGAAGAATAAGTTGGTGAGTAGTATATGAGACATGACATGAGACATACCGGTGCTGACCACGTGAGTGTCGTCCTACACGACGGCTTGGGCAAGAAACCGTGGTTTAGGTTCTTGTTCTTAGTTTTGTTGTTAGTTTTGGTGCCTAGGCTACCGGTAATGTTAGGGTTGGTAAACCACGGCTGGAGCTGGTCGGATCACACGTCGCTCAACAGACCCAACAGCGAGGAGTTTGGCACCAACTATGACCCCAACACCATGACTGCCGATGAGCGACACATGTCTTTACCCAATTTGGATCAGTTGACCGACGATGACATCAACGTCCAGTTCGAGTCAATGCTCGTGAGTATGAACTAATGATATTCGTGAATATCATTGGACACGGATTGTGGTGCGAATTGATGGCATGTATTGTCTTATAGGACGACATGAATCTGACTGAAGAGAAGAAGAACCCGTTGCGGACTCAGAGGATTGAGACGAAGAGGACAATGCTTAGCTCGCACTACAAGCAAAAGTTTGCGTCCAATAGATCCCGGTTTGTGTCGCCCAACGACTACGTGAAGTACATCCAGGAAACGGCAGACATCACGTCCGACAAACTCTACCGCTGTATAGAGTCGTTGCGAATCGAGTTGACTAACAAACCCGTCTCGTGGGTCAAGCAGTTCGGCCAAAACCAGGGCCTCCAGTGCCTGCTGTCGGTCCTCAACAACTGCTACCAGTGCCACGGCTCACGACAGGCCAACAAAGTGCAACACGAGTGCATCAAATGCCTGAAGGCCTTGATGAACAACACGGTATGCTTTGGATTCAGATATAGCTTAAGACATTCACTAATGTCATGACTTGTGATACACCCCGAAGGCCGGCATAAACCAAGTGTTCGACCACAAGGAGGCGCTCTCCATACTGGCGCGCTCTCTGGATCCGATGCAGATTACGGTGATGTCCGAAGTGGCGGAACTGTTGGCGGCGCTGTGTCTCGTGAATAAGGACGCCATCAACGGTCACGACAAGGTGTTGGAGGCGATGACCATCTGCGCCGAGAACAACCACTTCGAGCACCGCTTCTCACCGATTATCGAAGGCATGAAAAACGAGTCCAATGTGTCGCTACGGCTGGCGTGTATGCAACTCATCAACGCCCTCATCACCAACAACGAGGACTTCGACTTCCGGCTTCATCTGCGCAACGAGTTCTTCAGAGAGGGTTTCTATGATCTGTGGGACGACACACTCCTACCGCTTATTCAACGACACAACGACAACGACACCGAAGAGTTGGTCAACAATAAGAGTTCCGTCTCGAAGACACCCAACGAGAAGTTGGTGGACATGATTCTGGTGTTCAACAACGCCAAGGACGAGGACTTCGAGGAATTGACGCAACGCTACGAGAATATCCGCTTCGAGTTGGACGACAACGACGACTGTTTCGCACTCATTAAGAACAGCGTGAAGGGCACACCCGCTGACCAGCACTTGCTCTCCATATTCCAGCACCTGTTGCTCATCCGAGACGACTTGTACTCCAGGTATTTATTCTGATATCCGGCCGAGTTCTCGATGTATCTCAACTACTGTCGAGGGCTGCGCTTCGAGGAGGCGCCCGACTATATGTACTTAAGGCAGTTGTTCCGCATACTGTTCCGCACTCTCAACCACCAGTACGATTACATCTTCGACTGGACGATGTTGAAGCAGAAGGCGGCCCAATCGGCCGCCCAGTCTGGCGGCGCCTCATCCAACCAGAACGTCAACCAAACCGGTCCCACTGGCACTCGTTAGCCACACCATACATACCACCGCGACCTCCGAGTCCCCCACACACCCCCTCTCCCACTCATTCTATTGTTTCCCAACTCTTAGGCTAACTCTTATATATATATAAATATATCGATTACCATATTATATGATAACAAAATAACTATCAATTGTTGCACTAATCCGAGTGCTCTCTCGTTGTCTATCTCTGACTGTCTCTCGCGTCGGACTCTCTCGACGACTCTCTTTCACTCTATTATTATAATAATTTGTCGATAAATATATTGATTTCTCCTCCAATTGAATGTCTCAACAAATGGTACTGACGTTCAATTAGTAACACATATATTAGCCATTATTTGAACCATAAGTCCAATCAAATAATGAGTTTATATTTAAGAATATTATTGAAAGCTTCGTTCAAATAGTTGTTGAAAAAGTCACTCATAATCGACATATGATTATATTCTTTATTATTATATTATTAATATTATTAATATTATATATATATTATAATAATTATTTTTTTCATTTGATTATTATTTTTAACTCACATTATTAGTTAACGATATTTTAATGTAATTATTGAATGTAATCGCAATATACTTGTGTAAGGAATACAAAAAAAACAAAACAAAATACTTTTATGAAAACAAAAAATACAAAATAATTAATAGCGATATGATATGAAATTCTTTTAATTAATCTAATTCTGATTCCATACTTGTGTCCATTTGTTTGATTTATTTAAGTCGACAATAATAAAAACAATTTTTAAATAATTTGTTTAAAATTTTATTTAATCAAAAAATATACATTCAATCAAATTGAAAGGCAACAAATATATCTGATTTGATTTTAGTGTACTGTACTGTATATATACCGGTAGTAAGTATAGATAAAATGCATTTGTGGAAAAATAATTTAATAGATTATATAAATATATAAATTTAATAATTAATAAAACTTTTTTTCAAATGTATTTCTATATTATATGCAAGGATTCAATGGGTTTCCATTTGTTGATCACCAATGTACTCATGGCTCGCTAAGTATTATAATTGGATTGAAGTTTTGTACAAATATATCAAAAATAGGTTATAATTAATGAGAATATTATGGTAATCAGCACAGGCTTGCGATGTGAATGGAAAGGCACACCATGTTTATGACATAACAATTGACACTACAATCACAGAAACAGTGATTCACTTTGCAAACGGTAGACAACAGTCGGTATCATTAATATTGTAATTTTCTAGTGTTAGGCGTAGTGGACAGCAGTGTGTTTTCCAATGAATTGCGGGAACGGGTCCTATTGAGTTGTTGGCGTCGATCTGGCATTCAATTAAACACAACATTAGTAGACATCATCACAAACCTAACCACAAGTGACATACCATTTGGATTAAGAGGTCTTTGTTGGCGTTTACGTTTGGTTTGTGCGAATGCGGAGCCCGTCTGTAATGCCTCGAGAAGGCTGTCCATCACCCCGTCCTGGTCTTTGCCGATATCCAGGTTCACGCGCTTCGACTTCCTCTCGAGCTTCTCCTGTTCCGCCAACTCCTTGGCCTTCACTGCGCGCCTCATCTTCTCCTCCATTTCCCTCTTCTTGATGTTCTCGTTCTTCGCTTCAATGAACTGATCCTTAAATGATTTAATATCAGTGAAGAACTCATCCATCGTATACTTCTTGGGGTCGAACGCGTAATATCTGGAGATCTCTTTGAAAAGTCTTTCCATTTTACTGAACATCTGCTCCAAGAGTTGGAACTTCTCTTTGGCCTCAACCAAGAACTTCGACATAATGTCTCCGAACTTGTCCTCACTGTTCAATGGCTTAAAGTTCTTGAGATCTAATTCTAAATCATTGATACTCTTTCGCATTGCACTTAAATTCTTCTGGGTTTGTTCGGGTGATACTAAACGTATAAACAGATAATTATAACAATTAGAACCAATGTACTCAAGTCATGGATCAAGTCATGGATCACGTGATGGACTAACCTCTGGCCGCTTTGTCGCAGTGAATGATCTCCTCCCAGAAGTTGAGACAATCGGAATGTTTCTGTTCCACAGTTTCGGCCAAAAAGTTCAAGTCATGGATCAAGTCATGGATCACGTGATGGACTAACCTCTGGCCGCTTTGTCGCAGTGAATGATCTCCTCCCAGAAGTTGAGACAATCGGAATGTTTCTGTTCCACAGTTTCGGCCAAAAAGTGCAAAAGCGTTGTCTTATTGTCGGCCGCTTTAGTGGAACTCAGTTTTGGCAGAAAACTGATCTCAAAACCAATTGACTGCGCGTTTCGAGAGCCAGCGTTCATGAAGTTCCCGATCGCCAGAACCAACTTCACAATCAGTGAAAACTTGGCCGACTTCCGGACCTCTTCGCAAGCGGTGGTGGCGTTCACTACATCCGGCTTTATGTCTTGAACCGATTCACAAAACTTCATCTTAAATGATATGGCGTTCAGTCTCTTTACTAATCCTTTAATGGATCCCAACTATAGACACAAATGAAACGATTAAAGAGTTTGTTATAAGTGATGGCACCGGAAGGGGACGTACGGTTAGCGCGAATCTCTCGGCTTCGTGTAAGGACTCAATATCATTGCGCGACTCCTCGAGCCTTAAGAGCTGGTCCTGTGGCGGAAGGTATCGAAGTATTTGTTGCAAAATTGTTTCGCTTAAGTCCTCCTCATTCACCGAAAATATATGATTTTTCAGCTCTTCGGCAGACATTCCCACAGATCTCAACAAAATCACTGCAAAACAAACCATTCGTATGAAACAAACGCCAGAATTGACTACAAATTCTCAATTCTTACTTAAATTCTGTGCCGTCTTGTGGTCTATAACCTTAAGTTCTTTAGTCTTTTTGGCGGTCTGTGTCTTCTCACTCGGGTTCGAGACCTCCTTCTGAGCCATTCTTGCCTTTGGATCCGACGAGAAATGGAGTGTCAATGAGTCGAACACATCATCGCCAAGGAATTGGTCGTCACTCTTGACTTCCACCCAAATGGAGTCCTCACAGACTTTGGTTGGCGTTAACTGTCATTCAGTGATCACTCAATGGTTAGACCCAATCATACCAAACGAGACAATGATTATAAGCAAACCTTTTTCCAATTGGGTTTCTTAAGCGGTGTCTTTGGCTCGTATTTCTTGCGTTTAATATCGTACGGGAACTCTATTTGATTGGCGTTCGCATTGGGCATTGGGAGGCCTAAACCAAAGGGTGGGGGCGGAGGCATACCCATGCCGGGCGGGGGTGGCGGTGGTGGTGGACCCATACCGGGCGGAGGGGGTGGTGGAGGCGGTCCTCCACCCATTGGTGGGGGAGGTGGTGGCGGCGGCGGGGGTCCGCCAGACATTGGCGGTAGTGGCGGGGGTGGTGGTGGGGGAGGGCCTCCACCCATTCCAGGCATGGGAGGCGGGGGAGGTATGGCGGGGTTGGGCCTCGATTTGTTAGACGCGGTGTCGGTCTCGAGCTGTTGGAGGCGTGTCTGCAACTGTTGCAGTTTGGCCTCCGCCTCCTCTTTGGCGGTGAGCGCCTCCTCCAGCTTTTTGTTCAACTCTGAGCTGACCTTCAGGTCCTCCTCTTTGGATCTCTCGACGATGTGGTCGATCACGTAATCCACTTCTATCTTAAACCGTTTCGTGTGCCGGAAGTCCGGGTCGACGCCATTCCTGTGCAGCACTATCTGCGACACACACTCCTCGATGAGTCGGTAGTAGGCGGGCCTTCGGGTGGACAGGTATTCGGCGATTAACACAGTATTTATCAATGGGTAGGGAA